GGAAGAAAACGTGGAAACAACGAAAGAGCTATAGAGAAAAAACTAATCTGTACTTATGCTTCATTGGCTATTCGAAAGCATTTGACTGTGAAAGATAAGAAATAATCAGAACTGTTAGGACAATTAAACACTGATGGGAAAAGATTCACGAAAAACAACAAAAGAGCATGTATTAGCAGCAAACAGCAGCTATAAGAATTAACTACCATTTAGGAAGATTTCAAAGCATAAAGAGGGTCGTACGACATATCACGTGATACGTTTTCATTATACATTGAATATATAATAAGATCTATCATGAATGTGCCATGCATTGTGGCTGGTGCTCATAACATAAACAACCTACGTTGCTGACTACACCGTTTTGATAGCGAGAAGACAAAAAGGAACTACATGGATTGATAGATAGATACGGCAGTTGTGGGAAGTGAGAATGGGCCCCAACTTGAATAACTTGACGACAGAGGTAATGGTGACATCAGAAAAAAAAATAGTACGTAAGCGACGAGAGCTGCGTAGATGGACATATATTTAACATTAAGATGATGCACAATTACTCGATGTATATAAATGGGCACTAAAGACTTCTGTTTGTCAACATAGAACCATCTCTAAAGATAATTACAGCACATGGGCAGGAACTGACATGGATCATTTTTTTAACTACTGATTCTGCAGTGCCCGCTGTCCAATGTCTGCACTCTCGTACCAGTTTTATTAGAACCCTAAACAGTTCTGATTGTTGCTAGGACACTTTGACACACTATTCTCCTGGCCTAATATAATTTGAAGGTATAGATGTAGACTTATATGTCCATGCTTATAAAATGTTTTTTTCAGAAAAATACGTTGGTATTACTGGATCCTTTTACAGGATAATGAGCCCTTTTACTGTTATGCGTTTGTTTGATTTTTTATGTTTATTATGTTTTTCTTTAAATTTATATTTTAATTCCATTGAGCGGTTGCGCAGGGTCTATAGTACTGCTTGTTGGGAGACCTATTATAACTCTATCCGAAGATAAATGCCTTGAGAAGAAAACGCTAGGCTTCGTCACGTTTGAACGTTCCCGTGACACAAACAACAATTCTTCTTCAGCCCTATGCGTATATGCTAGGATCGACATATACTCTATGATCCGTATCAGTTTCCTGTTCATATTTTCACATTACGTCATACTTTATACTTTTGAAAGGAAGTGCTTGGTCTAGAACCAAATCCCTACGCCCCCAAGTATTCGTCCTCTACCAGCTCTGGCTTGTTATCAACGATTATGTTTGTAAAATTATAAAGTTTTAAACCATATAAATTTTACATAAAACACAATTTTGTGTAATTTTATCTATAATTTTGAATTATATTGTGATGAGCTGTAACATCCGTTCTGGTGAATAAATTAGTCCAGCGACACAGAGGGTGTTTCTTCTTGTTGGTTTCCTGTTTTCAGCCTCAACAAAATTCTGAGATAGACTCGAGAATTAGTTTACATTTGTTGGTAAGTCCTGAATCTGGTCGGGAGATCAGCTGCTTCGAAAATAAGAGAATTAGATAGGATAATTTTGGTGTCTTTTCAGAAAGATGGCCGACTGTCATCTTGATATCACGTCTTTCACTTTTCCTCGTCATCATTTGTTTACAGTGTGTACGATAGATTGGTCGCCAATGCGACAAAGCTGTAGACACTACTAGATGTAGTGCACTAGTACAATCAGTGCCAGTGGATTTAGCGGCTGATTGGGTATCAGTTAGAATTAGTTGTAGACTCAATCTACTTTAAGTCGAACGGATTCAGCTAGACGATTTTCAAGAGATATTTGGCCACAACAGGGCCAGGAACACACAGCACAGTCAGCACACACCAGGAGCAAAAATCAGTCTGGTTGGTTATCTGAAAGTGAACCCTTTTACTTGATTAGAATTAGATTAGATAAATTTTAGAACTTGATCCTTTACCAGTCTATCAAAATAGTAATACAGACACAGCATTTTATGTCACCAATTTATTTACCAACCAACTCACCTCCATCCATCGCATGATCAACCTATCCTTTGCAGTAAACAGCTTCCCTAAACATCAATTCAGTGTCCTCCTGCACCCCCTCCATAGTATAGTATGTTATAAATTAATTAAATTATTACTTTATATCTCTAATTTACTACCTTAAATACTATTCATCTCTCTGAATTCTCTTCTGAGTTTTTAGTTCTCACTTCACTCATCCCCCCCCCCCCCCCCCATGATTTCCATTGAAATGACATTCTAGTTATATTATCAGGTATTATAAATGTGCCCTTAGTTAATTAATTGACCAGTTATCCTCATCCCATATAAGACAGATCCAAGCACTCTTCCGAATACCGGTCCCAAATTATTCACTTTTTAACAAATCCCATTCAGGGCCTCAAGAGGTCATAGTTAAAAATATGGAATAGAAACACTACGAACTATGCTTTGCGTTATTATATAATTTCATTCGAACCAAACTGTCGATTCTTCGGTAGTACAGTTGTAAGTATTCCGCCTGTCACGCGTGGGACCTGTGTTTAATTCCCCGCCGGGTGATAATTTTTTTTAGCCCCTAAAAGGGTGGTTGGGATGTTGTGTTGTGGTTTACAGCTAGGCTGCGATATATGGGCGTTTCGGCCAACATATCCCATTTAAGCGAAGTCCTAATTTGTCGCCTTTTAGTTTTACAACATGCTCTGTATGTGGCAGTGGAGCTATTCTTTTTTTTCATCAAACATGTGGTCATGGAGCCCACAAGACAAGTCATGGGTAATGCGAACAATGGATCAAAAACTATTCCTCCCAAATCCTTACATACAAAGTATTTCATCTCGCAGGTGCTACAGAGTTCATGCACTCTGCTAAGATTCTTCGGACTCAGGCTTGAGTCGGAGGTAGAACGGAGCACTTATGGGTTACTACCCTTGTGCCATGATGTTGATCTGTCGTCTAAACCTAAAGAGGTGGGGAAAATATGCTAGTGCTGGATAGGGCACACATTGACAAAATTTGATTACTAGTATGTCCTTACAGGGTCAGAGAAAGAAAGGAAGAAACTTTAGAAACCCAGATGAAAAAAATGGGAGCAGATGGGTGAACTGCTTGCAATGACAGTGGGTTGGACAACTTGGCTAAAGTTGGCTGAGAGCCTATGCTCCATTGGAGGTATAAAGAGCAGCAGCAGAAGTTTCAGAGGTAAATTACAATGCTGCAGACATGCTCTATACCTGCAGTAGGAAGCCCAAGGTCTGGTCTGTTCGCATTCTGGTGGAAATCGTCGTCTTCTTCTTAGCGTTTACTGGCTGTAAACTCAGGTGGAAAATTCTGGTTATTAGTCCACTTCTGGACTTTGGCCCTGTTTCAGAACCTGAGCTGTGGGTGTACATCTCTTTCACAGATCTGGCTTATTTATAGCAGACGCCTAGTCTGCACACTTGTTCCCTAAAACACCTGCACAACCTGGCACAAAGATGAAGGTTAGGGCAGATATTCGTGAAGTGCTTAGTTTTGCAGTCCATTCTTGCCTGATAAATCCAGCTTGGATTTATTTAATCATATTCAACTAGTCACTAAGAATGCATATGTGTATGAACTTTTGAGTACCAAGCCATGTTAATTGTTACTGCCTTTGTTACAGCCATAGTTTCCACTGTAAGGCTACTAGTTGTAACAGCAAAGGCGCTATTCATCTCCTTAATGGTTTTCCCTCTTGAGCTTACTGTGAATGCCCATGCACTTCGCTCGCCCCGAATTACTGACCCATCTGTGTAAACTATAAACTACAGCATCACCTTCATCTGTGTTTTGTCAATCAGTGTTCTGACTAAAGTGTCAACAATGCCAGGAATCTGCTCTCTACAGCTTCCATCAAGTGTGATATGGACTGTAATATTAGTCTTGGGAGAAGGAGGCATAATTATCCATTCAATTCCAAATTAATGTCAGTAAGGCGGCAAACATATTCAATGGCATCCTCAGCCCGACCCATCCAGGATTTGCCTTGTTTGAGTCTACTCTTTTTTTTTGGCTTGAATAATTCCTTATGAAGTGGGTGTCGATGGTCTGACTTCATTTTAAGAAAAGCAACAGCCCTGGATAGCTTGATTTTGTTTCCACTGTGGGAAATCCAAGATGTAACGCATGGATTTACAGGAGGTGTCTCTAGTGCATCCAAGAATAATATCATTGCCTCATTAAAAAATTTTTCCAGTCTGTTCATCTGTGTGGTTCTAAGTGTCATGATTTCCAAGGCATATTCAATGGTGGAGAGAACTAACGCACGATACAACATTATTAGTAGTTGTTGCTCAAAGTTTGCAGCTCCCATAACTTTTATTGCGGAGAGACCTTTCTTGGCTTTGGTTATAATGTGGTCTGCATGTTTTTTAAATGGTAAGCATCTGTCAAATGTTATACCCAGGTATCTCTCCACGTCAGCGCCACAGAGTTTTACTATCAGCATTGGTGTTTTGGAAAGGTGATTATTTAATGAGAACCAGGTGACTATTGTTTTTGATTGATTAATTGTTGCCCCTGAGGTGTTGCACCAGGATGATATGAGATCTAATTCCTGTTGTAGATCCGAAACAATGTCATCTCTGTTCCTACCCCATAGTTACACAAGGATGTCATCTACATATGATAGAGTTCTTCCCCTGCCACTCAGTTTGTTCTCAAGGGATATGCTTGTTAGGGGGCAGTGGATCTGTAATTTACCCCACCTCCATCCACCAAAATGAGGCCCCAAAACACACGCAGGGAGAGTGGAAATCAAGCTGTATAGATCAATGGAGGACATTCCTTTTACCACAGCCTTCGCAGAGGCCAGTGGCCTTCACATCTGAAAACCACTGACATGGAGAAGGAACAGAAGAAGAATTATAAATTGCCGTTTTTTTCTTCTTCTATAGAGCCTCTGGGGGGAACAGAACACCTGCTGAGGGCAGATAGTCATCCTGCAAAGGAAATTTTAAGCTTCACAATACACAACAAATGGCCACCCGAGGTGCTCAACAGCGACCCAATGTAGCAACACAAGGCAAAATCTGTCAGTTCAAGTTGGTACTGCTGGGCGAGTCAGCAGTGGGCAAGTCCAGTCTGGTTTTACGATTTGTCAAGGGACAGTTTCATGAGTACCAGGAGAGTACCATTGGTGGTGAGTATTTGTGTTTCTTTCTGAACTCATTGTGTGTCAGGTGGATGGTCATTCTTTGTCCAGTAGCTTATTCTGTGTTATAACATTTATTATGTATGATACAACTTATTGAGACTGCAATGAGCTCATCCTGTGACATATAGTTCATTCTATGACATACAGCTCATTCTGTGACGTACAGCTCATTCTGTGACACACAGCTCATTCTATGACATACAGCTCATTCTGTGACATACAGCTCATTCTATGACATACAGCTCATTTCTGTGACATACAGCTCATTCTATGACATACAGCTCATTCTGTGACATTCAGCTCATTCTGTGACATACAGCTCATTCTGTGACATACAGCTCATTCTGTGACATACTGCTCATTCTATGACATACAGCTCATTTCTGTGACATACAGCTCATTCTATGACATACAGCTCATTCTGTGATGTACAGCTCATTCTGTGACATACCATGCATTCTGTAACAAAGGTAATATCACACATGGCAAAGATTTATCAGTCAGGACCCCAGATTGGTTTTTTTCTTCCCAATCTTTCTTTTGTTATTGTCTGTGTTTTTTTTTCTCCCCAACCTTTCTTTTGTTATCAGTGTTTTTTTTTCTCCCCAACCTTTCTTTTGTTATTGTCTGTCGTGTGCCATTAGGTGTCACAGTTTAACAGATGGTAGGTAACCAAGCTATGGCATGCTTGGTATGCTGTGATATTGTGAAGTCTCAGACTGTCAGTGACTCCTTCGATCCATGTTCTTCTAGGTCTCCCTCTACATCATTGTGTTTCCATTTACATTGTGTATGCTGTCGCTGCCTGCATCATTGGATTCATTTTCACTGGGTGACCAAACTATTTCAGTCTGTCTCTCACTGAATTCAGTGATGGATGTTGTTCCAATAGTTGTTCTAATCCCTTCGTTTCTCACACAGTCTCTTATTTTTCTGTTTGCAGCCTTTCTCAAACATCTTATTTCACACATGGCTAGTTTTCTCTCATGTACTTTACAGTGGACAAACAACCAGGACTTTCCATCAGAGTCACCAGAGTTTGTAACTGATGAATGCAAACAAACAACAAAAATTAGTTATTGAAATAAATAAAAGGAAGATACAAGTGAAATATTTTGGCCACACTAAAAGACATGACAATCTTTAAAAACAATCATCATCATTATCGCTGTGTATCATTGAGTCACCAGTCGCTTTTGACTGTTTGATCAACTCCCTCCATCTTTGACAGTCAGATGCAGTGGACTTTTAGTTTGCATGCTTAAGGCCTGTCAGGTTCTGTACCCAGGTCCTTCTTGGTCTGCCTCTTTTCCTCTTCCCATCTACCGAGCCCTGTAATATTGTTTTTGAGAGGTTTTTATATCTTTTTGCATGTCCATACTATTGCATTTCCCGTCTTTTCTCTCTAGTTAAAGAGGTTTATGATTTCTATTGTGCTGGGTAATTATGTGGCAAAATTCATCATTTGTGATATGCCTAGAAAATTATCTCTAAAAGATCTCATTTCCAGTGCTTGTATCTTGTTGAGTTCAGCATTTGATAGAATGTGGCATTCAGTACTTGGGAATAAAAACAGTACTGGGGTGGGGGAAGTTAAAGGCTTGTGAGTAAGAGGCAGACAGTGATACAAGTGTTATAGCTTTAAGAGGTGGATGAACTACAGTCTTAGGGAGTACATATCCAGGGCAAAAGACAGGGCAAGTTGAAGATCCATCACATCCAACCTTCATTGTGGGGATGACACATAATTAATCAGTTGATTTAGTCATACTTTGAAACAGCTCAACAGCAGGCACCCCTTATTTCTGATACTACAGTTGTTGTAGCTATATAGTTTGATCCTTGCTGCAGTCTGTGATTTATAGAATATGACATCTTAATATACATCTCCTATGTTAAAAAAGTTAATATTGCCAGGGCTTGATGTTTTCTGTTTTTGTTTCCCCAGCTGCCTTCTTGACACAGACTGTCTGCCTTGATGACACAACAGTGAAGTTTGAGATCTGGGACACAGCGGGACAGGAACGCTACCACAGTCTGGCTCCCATGTACTACAGGGGTGCCCAGGCAGCCATTGTTGTATATGACATCACAAATACAGTAAGTGGTTAAGACATGATAGGGTTAATAAATGTCAGGTAGCTTATCGAGGATTCAAACCTTGGTCTCCTAGATGGGAGCCCAGTATTTTTAACTGCTCAGCCAGCCATTCTAGAGATCACATGAAGGTATATAATTAAAAGGGTGATGTGGTCAGCATTCTGTTGACCACTTTGTAGTACCTGTTTTATTATTACGCTAAGTTGACTAAAAAACATATGATATATACATATCAGTTAGGATTTAAACTCAGCACCGCTGATCCTACAGGCAGGTGCTGTAGTTACCATTTATTTCTTCTTCTTTATTGGGGTATTAAATCCCATTGGAGCATAGGCTCACTGAGAGGTCAGTCAAAAAGGATATTGGGCATGGTCACTGTTTTTAGTTGTGGCAAATTGTTTGCTTCTGACAGACGGCCATTGCATTTTCCTCTATTTGTAGACTGAAAGAATATAGTTTTGTCGCTTAGCTACTGAGTTTAATGTATGGCGTGACACTGTGAGCTGTTTTTTTTTTCTTCTTTTTTTTTTCGTTTTTTTCTTTTCATTTGGAGTGTTTTTTTTTGACTGATCAACGTGGTGTTGTGAGATGTAGGTTCAGAGAATGACACATGGTACATTGCCACATAATTGGTGGTGCCTTGCGTGCAACTCTTGATCTGTTTGCGGCTGCTGCTGCTGCTTCTGTCTGTTATGAGCTGCATTCCTAATGTTGGACTGTTTGCTGAAACTAAGATTACCAGGATAGGCTCTCAACAGTCTCAGACCAAGTTGCTCTGTCAATTTGCGCCTCACTCAATATCCTGCCCATCTTTGTCATCTCATTCTTGAGTTCTCTTCTTGTGTATTTTGACCTGGGGATCTGTTTTTGACTGTCAGTCTCAGTGTTAGGACTAAGTTATATTTTTGTCATGTTTTCTCAATGACTGTCATATGCCACATCAGCATCTTTTTCTTATCTCTTAGTTACCAAGATGCTATTACTCAGATGCTCACTTTTGTGTGAGATTATAATTTTTTAATGATTTTATATTGTTGATTATTAGCTCCTCAAAAGTAAGGACCCTTTTTTTTCCATTGACACTTCAGGATTATGCTGCTGGACTTCCATTTGTATAGACCAGTAGGCACTCTTTGGGTGATGTATTCAATCTTATGTCGACCTTAACTTCCTAGGTCATTCTTTGGGTGATGTGTTCAATCTTATGACGACCTTAACTTCCCAGGTCTTTCTTTTGGGTTATGTGTTCAATCTTATGTCGACCTTAACTTCCTAGGTCTTTCTTTTGGATGATGTGTTCAATCTTATGTCGACCTTAACTTCCTAGGTCATTCTTTGGGTGATGTGTTCAATCTTATGTCGACCTTAACTTCCTAGGTCATTCTTTGGGTGATGTGTTCAATCTTATGTCGACCTTAACTTCCTAGGTCATTCTTTGGGTGATGTGTTCAATCTTATGTCGACCTTAACTTCCTAGGTCATTCTTTGGGTGATGTGTTCAATCTTATGTCGACCTTAAACTTCCTAGGATGTCGACCTTAACTTCCTAGGTCATTCTTTGGGTGATGTGTTCAATCTTATGTCGACCTTAACTTCCTAGGTCATTCTTTAGGTGATGTGTTCAATCTTATGTCGACCTTAACTTCCTAGGTCATTCTTTGGGTGATGTGTTCAATCTTATGTCGACCTTAACTTCCTAGTCGATGTGTTCAATCTTATGTCGACCTTAACTTCCCAGGTCTTTCTTTTGAGTGATGTGTTCAATCTTATGTCGACCTTAACTTCCCAGGTCATTCTTTGGGTGATGTGTTCAATCTTATGTCGACCTTAACATCCCAGGTCATTCTTTGAGTGATGTGTTCAATCTTATGTCAACCTTAACTTCCCAGGTCATTCTTTGGGTGATGTGTTCAATCTTATGTCGACCTTAACATCCCAGGTCATTCTTTGAGTGATGTGTTCAATCTTATGTCGACCTTAACTTCCCAGGTCATTTCTTGGTGTCTGTTTTAGGCTGGTTCGACCTGGAAGACCTACATCAATTGTAAAGATTAGTCTTGCTGTGTATTTGAACACAAGACCTTTGGGAAAGCCAGTGAATGTTATTAGCTCTTTGCTTCATTATTATTAGGTCATCATTTGATAGTGAAATAGCAGTAGCGCAGTGCCTAGATGCTCACCAGCAGACCCCAAAACCTTGGTTCAAATCTGCACTTTGTGGATAAAAAAAAAAATTGTTGTGATGTTGGCCTCTGTGTTAAAACAGCCTAAAATGGGTGCCAGGAAATGCCCTGGGAAGTAGATGGTTGGCATGATGTTGACTGCATTACTTACCGTGGGCTGATGGGACTAAAAAAAACATAAGCTATCTACATACCTTATGCGCCACTGGGGTGAGAAGGGTCCGTTGCTTGCTTACTTTAATGTGAGAATGTTTTAAAAAATAATGTTAAATTGTTCTCCTATTAGCTCTTTGCTACATGTATAATTAAACAGGGAAGTTTCAGATGAATTGACATGTGTTCTGTCTATTATGAGAGCCTGCCAGCCTAATGGTCTAAGGTTCAAATCTGCATCGTCAGATTGAAAAAAAAATTTGATTTTGGTTTCCTGCCTAAAATGGTTAACAGGTAATGTTCTGGGAAGTAAAGGCAACCGACATGATATTGAATTCATCACTCATTGAGTGAAAGTTTGTCTATCAAAAAATATAGATCTTTTACTATATGCCCTATGCACCAAGGAGTGAAAACGGTCCTTTATGTTTCCTCAGTCCTTTTCTTTTTGTTCACCTCAACTCACGGACTCTGAGCTTTTGTAGGGAGTTCCCAGGAAAGTCCAGTAGTATAGGGAGTGTGAAAAGAATTATGACAAACCCCAACCCATACCCCCCACCCCTTAATATTAGAATTTCACAGCAACTCCCTCAAATTCGTGGAGTCCCTGGGACGAGGTGAATACAAAGAAAAGTACCATTTTTTCTTACTGTCTATTACTGTTGCCAGGACACATTTGGAAGAGCAAAAACATGGGTGAAGGAGCTGCAGCGTCAAGCCAGTCCGAACATTGTGATAGCGTTGGCTGGCAACAAAGCAGACCTGGCCAACAAGAGAATGGTGGAGTTTGATGAGGCCCAGGCCTACGCAGAAGAGAATAGCCTCCTATTTATGGAAACCTCAGCTAAAACAGCCATGAATGTGAATGATATATTCCTTGCAATAGGTAAGTGATCTGCTTCTTCTGGGGCTTGGTAAGGATCATTCATTGATGATTGTGATACTCTAACCCTTTCTTTCTGATTTAATTAAGTTGTTCGGAGAGGTGGCTGGCATGGGATTATAGTGCAGGATCAACATCATGGCACAAGGGTAGTAACCCATAAATGCTCCGTTCTACTTCTGACTCAAGCCTGAGTCCGAAGAAAATCAGCACAGTGCACGAACTCCGTAGCACCGGCAAGTCTCCTGAAATACTTTGGGTAGATTTTTTAAACTCTAAATTTTGTCAGGGCAGCACCGTTAGGCTACTCTTTTTCGATTTCCAATGCCAGGTGATTTTTTTATGTGTGCAACAATACACACAGGCGTCTGATCTTACTACCCAGAGGCCAGGGAAAATTACTAGAAGTCCACGTGAAAAAATTCCCAGCCCTCACCAGGGCTTGAATCTGGGACCTCCAGCAGTCGAGGCGGACGCCATGCCTCGAGACCACACACAGCCTCCTCAGTATCTGTGTGTGGGTTCTGTGGCCTCTAATCAGCTCTCAACAGACAATGTAGTCAGTATCATGTCAGCCACCTTTAACCTCCCAGGTCATTCATGCTGGGTCTACCTGCACATCTTCAGTAACTTGATGGACATTTTCTTCTGTTGTTGGCCCCCCCAAAAAAAAATAAACATCCTGACCTTGGCAGTTCGTGATGGCTGTGCTAATCATGTAGCACCAAATCTTCAGACTTATGAGTGCATGCGTGTTATTGCATCAGTGTACTGTCAGTATTCTTGGGGTGGGGATGGGGAAGCTTACCTGTTGAATCAATAACAAGGCTGTTCAAAATGGCAGACAGCAAGCCAGATCTGGTCTGCAGGAAATGGCTTGCAAATATTGCTGGTTGTATTGTATTAATTATCTTTCTATGCTGGGGCTTGATGGTTTGGCCTGTGACAATCCTCACTTTACAAATGTTGGTCCTTGAGTAAACTTAGCGGAATAGCTATGGTCAGTAGAGCTGTAGATATTCAAAATAGGCCATATTTCATGGCAAAAACGACAGTCTAATACAAAGGTTCTGAACCAAGTAGGGATGGAAAAAGACCCCAAAAAAATAGAAGTGATATATTTTGGCAACATTGAAAGAGATAACTTGCTTCTAAAAACTACACTGGAAGGAAAAGTGCAAGAGTTAGACAGTGATACAAGTGAGAGGACAATGTCTAAAGACGGATGAGCATCAGCCTAAGCGAGAGTGTATACAGCTAAGAGACATAATATGTTGATCTGTTGCCGCCAGCCTTCACGGTAGAGTCAGCACCTGATTGATTTTCTAATTGGAATTTGTTCCTCAGGTGTAAATCAGAAGTTACGGTGATGATTTCTGTAGTGGTTATCTGATAAGATACAGCAAAGTATTGTCTCCTCCTCTTCTTTTTCTTCTTCACCTCTTCTTCTTCCGGCACCTCATTTGAAGTACCTTTTCTAATACAGTGTGTAAGTTGGTCTTCATTTCTTTAATTTCTTTGTCTTTCAGCCAAGAAACTGCCCAAGAATGAAACATCAGGTACACCTCAACAAAGACAACAGGGAGTGCGACTAAGTAGTGAACAAGGGGCTCAGCAGTCAGAGGGTGGATGCTGCAAGTAGACTTGGTCATCTGTTCATTCCACCTTTTTGTTTTTATAAATATATATATATAAATATATATATAATCTTGATTCGTTCATTTTTTACTTCTCAAACATGCTCCAGTATTTACACTTTCTCTAAGTTGTACCTGACTCTGTCAGTTTGAAAGTTAGCTCTATATAAGATGCTGCCGCTCATATGTGTTATGTCCCTTGTAGGTTCTGGGGCTCCATTGTGGAGTAAAAAAAAAAAAAAAATAAACCCATTGCCTCCCTAACCAGCATGACATAAAAGGGACTAATTAGAGTTTTTTTTTTTTTTAAATTCAGAATGCATCTGTCCGAGAGTTACCAACAGCCTGCATACAAATAAACCAGATCTGTTAAACGGATGCACATAAAAAATTCAATTCCTGGAACAAGAGCAGAGTCCAGAAGTATGCAAACAACCAGAACTTTTCACCAGAGGTTATAGATGGAGAACACTAAGAACAAGACAAGGCGTTCACATATTCTAGACATACAAGATGGGATGGTCAGTTCCCCTCATCGTGGCCTTTCCTGCTAAAATAATGCTCCGCAAATTCTAAACATCAGTACCGATTTTTATGAGGCTGGGTCGACAACAGAGCCATTCTGTCTGAAAATTATTCCACCTCTACTCGGTATCTATTGGTGTTGTGTAAAGAACAGCTGTGCCATATGGGACCAAACCCAGTGCAATAGTTAATCCTTTTGCCTCTAAAAACCTTTTATATTGTATCAGTCATTCTTCCTCTTCTGTAATTGCCCTGAAAAGGGTGGGTGGCACACTGTGTTGTGGTATACAGCTAAGCTGCCAAATCTGTACCTTTCGTACAACACATCCTATTTCAGCAAAACTCCAGCTAGTCACTTTTTATGACATGCATGTTAAGGGTTAGGGGTCCTTTCTTTTCCCCCCTTAGTTAGGGCCTTGGAACTCACACCCAAACTATCTGTAAGAACAAATGTTTAAGTAAAAAGGTGTGGTAATGTGACCTCACATGACAGTCTTATGAAACCATGCTGTCTTCTTTTCTCAAGACCATATTTTACCCTTCAGCATCAGGTTTTGAAGAAGTATCTGGTGTGAGCCTTGGTATGTGCTCCATTGCTGCTGGTCTTCCAAACCTTGAATATTTCACCTATCCATTGAAAATATGTCTGAACCATTTGATCTGATTTCCTGTCATATAGGTATATACTGATAGAGGCAAGGGATGCAAAGCCTGAGGTAGACCAAGAACAGTGTTGACAGATACAGTCAGAGATTCCACCATAATATGAGGTATCTGTTAAGGTGATCAGGAAAGCAAAAACCATAATTTGGATCTCCCTTGACACAAGGAAGTAAATACGGAGGAAAAAAAAAGAAATTGGTGGCATCTGTTTGTTAATTAAATGTTTGTATGTGTCTCAAGAAATGAAACTATATATGAGGTTGTCAGTGTGTTGGATTTTATAGACACCCTTGTCAAAAAATTAAATATTTAACATAAATGTAGTTAGTGGAGACTGATTACTATTTTGGCCTGCATCTGTATTGTTTCATGTCTTAAGGAAGAGGTAACAGACTTTGACTGGGCATTGTCACATAGAACAAAGTTTAGTAGAAACATGAGGCATATTTAGAAAAATATGGTGGGTTTAGGGACATCGCACATGTTTCAGTAAGGCTGTAAAAAAGAGCAAATTTTAGAATCAGCGTTGATAAATCGGATTTTACTCTGTATAAAGATGCCAACAAGTCTAGCCGGAATCAGTTTTTCTCTTGCAGGTGTCACCTTGTACAAATCTGTTTTTGCAGTATAATGTTTTGTATGTATTGTTTTTTATGTACTTGTGATATCTGGAAACTCAGAAGATGTTGTTTTGCTTGTGGCTTGAGAGTTGCCTTCTTGAGAATGACTCAAATTTTATTTTATTGGCCAGGGATGTGCTGACTAGTAATTAAACAGGTGCATTCAGAAAATGGTTCCTGAGAATTGTTTACTTTTAACATGCCAATAATTGTGGTTTTCCTGGCAAAGTGTTCAAATCATTTGCCTCACAGTCGATTATTTGTTTTTTTTTATTGTTTGGTTGAAAGTGTGCAAATTTAAAATAGATTCTTAGAGGGCATCACTGCAGCTACAGAGTTTATGGTTTGTGCGACTCTCACATCACATGGCCAGCTGCTCCGCAGAGATTATGCCACATTGGAAAACACTAATCACAGAAGTCAGTACTGTCACCTTTGATCACCTTTTGTGATATTTGTTTTGTTTGTACAGAATCTAGTAGTTTAGCAATCAGAGATTTTGTTTTTCATAAGGAGTGCTTTACAGATAGTAGAGATTTCATGAAAGTTTTTCCCTCATGTTTTTGGCACACAAGTATTGGTATATAAGGATTTAAAAAAGAAAAGAGAATTTTGTCTTTGATGTGATAAAAAGGAACAGATTAGTTTCCAAAGTGAACGGTTTTCCCTTTTCTCTAAGGAAAGAACCAGTAATAGTGAGCTTTTGATAGATCTATAGTGAATTTATTCTTCACCTTCTGCTCTTCATCCGTAATGAAGCTTATGGTCTCAGCCATCTTGTGCAGAGATTTTATATTGTTCATAGTTGGTTGACTTGTGGCTGAAGGGGAAGAGCGGCTGGCCAAGTGGTTAAGAACTCTGGGATCTCATTAGGGAGATCCAGGTTTGAGTCCTCTGTAAAATGGTAAAGACTCGCTGCTAACCTGCACAGTTGATGGTAACTTTGCTAGCCATATGGCCTCATATTCTCAGGCTCGAGACGCCATGTCCTACACCACCCCAAAAAAGTGGTACATTCAGACTGTCAAGAGTTTCTTTCTTCTTTTAGTTTTTTTTTAATGGTTACAGAATTTTGCAGGATGGGGTAACCAGCCTCAAACTCACATCTATAGGCAGTCATACTTCATGACATGTCTCACAGAATGTAGTGATACCAAATGCATTTTCTGTGAAATTCCACAATACTAAAAAATAATCCAGATGTATGCAAGAGGGTCACCATCTGTGGCTTAGGTGTTGCGAACAGACTTTGTAGTTACGAGATGCTTGGTTGGATCCCAGCTGCAGGCGATTTGTCTAGCATTGGTTTCGACAGTGGTATTAAGAGCCGACCATTTAGAAAGCAGTGGCAAACTACTGAATGTAACATTGCCTAGTGAAATCACAAACAGCCAAAAAATGCTGGGGTTGCTTTTGCATGCAAGAGAGGCTTGCATGATGGTAATGTCATCAAATTCCTCTTGAGAACGGAAATGTTTAAACTGACATACTTACTGCATAAAGATGTCCATCCTGAGGTTTTCTGAAAAGTAGAGATGGACAGCAGGACATTGACCTCATTGTACTTTTAGTGCCCATTGGTCTAAAAATGTGGACCTCGCTGCTTGTTCCAAAAGGCATCAGTTAATGTTTTACAGACGTGTACATTTAAACATCCAGAAAGCAATGGCAAACTACTGGATGTAAATTTGCCTAGAAAAACCACAAACAGCCAACAAATGCTGGGGTTGGTTCTGCAATGTCCTGTAAAGGATACGCAACTAACTAAACATATAAACAAGCAGCATCTACATTTTGGGGAGTGAATTTAGATTATGATTGATAATAACAAATTTGAAGTTCATTGCTTCAGTCAGGGGGGTCGCTTTGGAAGAGGGGGATGGGGTAGATTCAGTGTCACTTAACAAGCATGTAGTAAAAAGTGACTAATTAAAGATTTAATGAAATTGGATGCGAATGGGGCAGATATCACAGCTTAGCTGTAAATCACAATACAATGTGACAGCCACCCTTTTAAGGGCAAATTCAGAAGGAGAGAGGATTTATTCCTGTTGACATACAGAGATTACCTGATGTAGAAATATTGGAGTTGAGTTTTTTATATAGCAGGTCCTTTCCAGAACGCCACTCTCCCAACCTGGCATAATGCTGACCACATTACCCACCTAGTGCCGATTGGTCTGTAAAAATATGGGAGCTCTTCCCATGTGCCTGATGCGACTAAAGGTGTGAAAAGGGATCTTTACCTTTTTTTTTAACTCTCCAAACAGAAGGCCACTCCTTCCCCTGCCAACTTTTCCTCTCTAGAACTGTCCTCCTGCTCAGGGTGTTTTATTATGAATTAATCAAGTAACAGAAAGTATTGTGATCGGCACTCATAAAAAGAAGTAGAAAGATAGAAGAACACACTAGACAACATAAAAATCTAAAGCTATAGTTACTGTGCCGGGCTCCCCCCTCTGTTTATTTTCAGGGTGTTTTATCATGTAACCTTTTTCTGTACTAGTATCCTGCCTTCTCCTCTTCCTTCGTTTTCACCAGCTGTAAACTTCAGTGATAATTTCTGGTTGTTCATCCACTTGTTTCCATCTAGTCCTAGTCCTTTTCTAAACCACCTGCAGTGGAAATCAAACCCAAATACTTGGGAATTGTGAAGCATGTTCACTAATCTCTAAGCTGTAGAGCTACACACACAGTGATTTTTTTCTGGTTATAAAATGAGTAACTATTATGGAAATGTAGGAAGGTTAAGGTGTGTCTTTTAGACAATCATAGCAAATATATAGATAAATACATAATTAAAATAATAGGAAGAGGAAATGCAACCTGAAAACTTTGTGTTGTGGCAAGACAGACCAGGCCTTGGCTGGCAGCTGGTCTAGGAATGAAGTTCTGACATGCAGACAGGTAGAGCACTGATCTTCTGATCTGGCAGTTTCTGCAGCCTGCTTTGTTCTAAATGTACTAGTGTTACCTTTCCTTTAGAGTAAACAAGGCAGGTGAAGAGAGGGATCATGTTGCATGGGCAACATATGGTCTCTACAATACTGCCCAAGCTTTGTGCTATAGAGAGGACTGAGAGAAGAAACTTGAGAAGAAACAGACTAAACACATATGTTGACAACAGTGGTCCTGAAATCTCATGCTATAATTGTCGCAATATAACACTAACGTCTGGAAAGACGGAATGGTGCCAA